GGGGCGCGCGCAGCATCATGGGCAGCAGGGCGGGGAGCCGCGCCAGGTGGGAGCGGGCCCCGCTGGCGGCTCGGAGGCAGCTTTCTGCCCCGAGGGGGAGGTTTTGTACCTCTCCGAGCTCAAACCCGGAGCCCGGGAAGGTGCAGCTTTGCCTCTGGGTGGGGCAGGGTTCCTTCCCGCAGCCTGGGAGCTGCCGGGAGCAGGTCTTGCCTCCCCTTCCCTGCCAGTAGGCACTGTTGCTTTGGCCTGTTTTCTTGTTTGTTTGAGTTGTGTTTTTTTTTTTAACACCCAAGGGAAACTGTTTCCAGGTCCCCTCTGCAGCTGGGAAGTGACTCAGTATGAAGTGCAGACCTTCCAGTAGCCCTTGCTCCAGTAGTTCTGGGGTCTTGTTGCCAGCCTGCCTGTATATCCTGGTTTAAAGTTGGGCTGGCAATTAAATGAGGTACAGGTGCTCTCTATTAACCCCTCTCCCTTCAGCAAATGCAGTTACTTGGAGGAGACTTTAAAATGTAAAATTACTGGAAAGAGAAGTGGTTCTGTCCTGGCTCAGCCCAGGCCAGGGCAGTGCCAGGAGCGCAGGGCTGGGCTGTTTGCTCCTGCACGAAGCACCCTCTGTGCCTGCCTGGTGTTCTGCTGCAGGCTTTATGTTCGATGGCTGGTTGGTTGGTTGGTTTATTAAATGGCTTGTTGTCCCTCTTCCTGCCCAGCCCTCTCTTCCTGGACACTTCAGGGATTTGGCTTCAGGACCGGCCCTCCCTGGCCTCGGTGGAGGCGTCGTGGGACGCGGCGGAGGTGGCAGCGCTGCGGGAAGGCACGGGTGGTGACCCAGACCTGAGGGCTCTGGAGGGGGACAGTGAGGAGAAGCTGGCTGTGCCAGACCCAGTGAGTGCCTGGCTGAGCGTGGAATTGGTTTTTCCCTGTTTCTCTAAGGAAATGGGGAACTTTCTGCACCTTTTTTTTTTTTCCAAAAAGTTAAGAATCAGATTAATCTTGGGCACCTGATGTAGAAATCCCTGCCCCGTGTGCTGCTCACCCAAGTGTGTTGGTTTGGGTTTCAGGAGCTGGAGGCCATCACAGCCAGAGTGCGGGAGATGGAGAAGGAGTATGAGAGGCTGAAGGAGTTGCAGCTGGAAGCTGAGACCCAGCTCATCATGAGCTCAGAGGCAGGTATGGGCTGCCCTCTCCAAGGACATCTCTGTGGCACAGGGTGGCAATTAAAGGCAGAGCAGGTGGCTTTGCCTCTCCTGGCAGCCTGGGGCTGATGGATGAGGGATGGCATGATGCTAATGCAGGTTTCATCCACTCTTACCTCCTGTTGTTGCAAGCCAAGGTGCAGCAAATTACTTAAATTGAGTAATTGAGTTTAGCCCCAACAGCCCCACCAGAGCAACCACCCTGGGGGGTTGTGTGTTTTTTTTGTGAAGAGAAAGGGGAAGGAGGAGAAGGGAACAGTATGGGCATTTGTGACCAGGGACCTGGGGAGCTTTGCAATGTGTCAGCTCTGTGGTGGCCATACTGAGAGCAGACCTGCCTGCCCAGGTGTCCCTCTGGTAGGAAGCTCCTGCCACTCCCTCTACTGCAACCCCTTGTCTCTGTAGGTCTCTTCCCAAAGACAACAGAGGAGAAGGTGGAGGCTGACCAGCGATCCATCTATGTGGGCAATGTAAGTGGGAGGCCCTGGAGCAGAACCCACCTCGCTGCTCCTTGCCCAGCCTGACATGTGTCTGAGATCCATCCTTAGTGGGGGGGCCCACCTGC